GTCTTTTTTTTCCACCTGGGGGTATTTAAAAATTGTCGCACCCAAACCACCAAAACCCCCCCCCCCCCCTTGTGGGCGGGGGAATTCTGGGAGTTGAAGTCCACACATCTTAAAGTTCCCAAGGTTGAGAAACACTGCGTAGTCTGTCTGAGGCAAGTGGTCTGTTTTCCATTTTGCTACCCTGGATGTTTTTAAAATTTGTGTTGGATTATGATTCCCATCCTCAGTCAGCAGGTGTTCAGGCAGAGGATGATGGAAGTTATCACCTGAAACATGACACCAGGGTGGGAAAGGCTTCCATTCCTTTTGTGACAGCAACTCCAGCTTGAGACCAACGTGGTGATTTGAAAATGTTCGAGCAGTTATTACATTATGGCATTTACTGAGCAAGGAATGAGAAGTAAAACCCTCCTGCAGTCTTGAAAGGTAATAGTGGAACACGCTGTTTCCTGTCATGTATTCTGAGCTGTTTCAAGGTCAAAAAAATACTGAGTGCAAAGAAAATGTATACCTCCCTGGCTTGGTAACTGCTGATGCCTTTTGTTTTCAGCAGATTCATGTTTTACTGGAGGGTAGCCTTTCCTGACTTTAACACTTTCCAGATGTGTGGGCTGGAATTCCCAGAATTCTCAGCAATGGCTATGGTGGCTGGGAATTCTGGGAGTTACCTCCATACCTTTGGAGGTAGCTAGGTTGGGGGAGCCACTGCAGGGGGTCTAAGGGTTTTAGAAATGGCATCTGTGTTATTTCAACCCTTGTTAGGCCTTGTAGTTTTCACAGAAGATATCTGTATTGTGAAAGAAGACTCTGCATCGAAACTTTAGTCTTCCACAAACTCTTAATATATGATAGATTGACAGACAGACAGATAGATATGATAGACAGATAATATTTATTTCAGTCAGTGACCAGATAAAACAGAATATATATATAAACTGAATACAACAAAAATAATCCACCTAACCATCAAAAATGGAAAAGGTGAATATTGTATATACTATGAATTCTGTAGTCCAAAGCATTGAAGTAACTATGAAATAAGGTATTAGGGTAATGGGAGTCAGTTTTTCATTCCTACATAACAGAAGATAAGTGAATCAGGTATGAAGATACCAGTTATGTGTGGTAGTCAGTTGTTTGCCCACATTCATAGAAGATATGCAGAACCTGGCTACATTGTGGGTGATAAAACTTTTCTTGTCTGATAAGAAGACGTCAATGTGAAGTTCCTCAGAATAATTTGGTGCATGTAGCAAGAGAGGGAATATGAGTTTCCTCTGGATATCCCTGTAAAAGCAGCGTAGCAGCATGTGAAGAATAGATTCATCTGAGCCATCACCACAAGGACAAGCTTGGCTAATCATGGGGGTTTAATTAAATCTCCCATATAAAACACTAAGGGTAGACTATTATATCTGGCTTTGAAGAAGAATCTTCGCTGGGCTGGAGAGGTGAGTGAGTTGATATAAGTGGCTGGTTTCTACCTAACATGGTTGAACTGAGTTTGGATAGCATTTTGGATGATAATATCATGTGAGTAACGTTGCATGAGACTGTGGCTTGTGTGTGTATGTATATCTGCTGAGCATAATGCAGACTAATGTACTTATTGGGTACTTTGAGTGCTGCAGTTACTTTCTTCGGTCTGGCTTTGTCTTAGAAAGACTTCAGAGCTAAATACAGAATCATGAAAAGATTAGGATGTACATGCATAAGATTTTCTTTTTAATATAAGAGGAAATTGTGCTTCTCCCCCCCCCTTTAATAAATCAGAAAAGGGCAAAGGCGTGTGTATCCCAAACATCTCCCTTAACTATGAAATAAGATATTAGAGTAATGGGAGTCACTCTCGAGCTTACATATCTTTTAAAAGTTATTTAATAAAAAAATAAAGCAGAATGCCAGCTTCTAGAATCGTCTTTATCATGGGAATGCCTTGGGTGGGGCTAATTCACCTTAAAATAAATGGCTATTCATGCCCACCACAGTCGCCATTTTGAGAGTTTGCCCATCGCCAGCTTTCAGAACTCCAAATCTCTCCACAGGCTCATAAAATTACCCTAGCCATGCTGAAAATTCACCTACCATTGAATCACCAGGCGAAGGCGTAAATGTCAGATTTTGACAGGAACAAATCCTCTAGGAAATTATATTTCAAGACATATGGAAGATGCCAAGTTATGAAATGTGCCCTGGGAGTTTTGTGTTTGGGAAGATCTGCCTTGGCTTGAGCTGCTGTTTGCGTCTTTTCCTTTTTGATCGTTGTGCAACAGTTTGTGTTCCCAGTTCATGGAAGCTGATAAATTCTGGTTTTGTTTTCCTTTGGCATGTTCAGAACCAAGCCACGATTTGGGATGATGGGTATTTTATTGTAAATACATTTTAAGTTACTAACTTAAGGCTTCACGTTGTACCTTAACTATGGTACAAACCAGCCTTTATTTATATATTCCATTGCACAGCCTGTATTTTCATAGCCTTTTTTTAGTAGATGCCCTAATTGGTAGACCTTGTGACCCCTAAATGATGCTGGGCGGTTCACATTAACCACAGAGTGGCCAATCGTAAGGATTGATTCACAATCTGTAGCCGCATTCCAGTAATACCTGAAGCATGACAGGTTCCCTGTCTCTGCCTTAGAATATCTTTGGAATATTCCCCCCTGCCTCCTGCCCCCATTATGGCCTATTTCTACTTGATAGACCAGCTTTTATTTATATATTCCATTGCACAGCCTGCATTTTCATAGCCTTTTTTTAATGGTCCTGAAGGAAGGGTACCATTCTGTGAAGAATTTAAAAATACATAAATAAAACCCTGTAATTTAAAGAACACTTGCAATGAAAATAAAGGATTCAGTAAAACCCATAAAGTGTGTTTTAAAAGGATGCTCTTATTAAAACTGTGTGATCTCAGGGCAGGAATCCCCTCCACACAGCAGTACCTGGGAACTGAAGACCCAGTAACTTCTGGGGACCCTGGAAGCTTATGAGGTCCAACACAACCGTAATTCAACAGGGAAGGAATTCCACAACCAG